GTGTGTGCAGGAAAGTGGAGGGCAGATGGGGGAGGTGGAAGGGAAGGTGAGATGCGATTGAGACGAGTGTGGTGTCGAGGTTGACAGAGTGGGATTGGCAGTGACGTGGGTAGGGCGATTGAGGGGAAGGAGTGAGGGAAATAGCCACGCTCTCTGTGGTGGTGGTGGTGGTGGTGAGTGAGAGAGGAGGAAGCGTTTGAGAGGGTGTGGAAAGTGACACGCGTGAGACCCAACGAGTGGTCCGTGCGAAGGCGTATGTTTTGGGACTGGTGTGGAGATGGTGGGAGGGGACGTGGAGTGCGGAGGCTTGTGTGAGTGAGGTATGGAGAAGTGGAGAGTAGGAGGAGGAGGAGAGTGAGAGGCAGTGAGAATGAGGGGAGACGGGGAAGGCAGGGAGAAAGGGAGAGAGAGGGAATGATGAGAAATGGGAGGAATAAGTTGCCTCTTACTCGTTTCCTTCACTACCCTCTGCCTCATCTTCCTCCTCTGCTTCGCTACGAGCATTCTCATCATCACTATCAACCTTCTCATTTCTACCCAATGCAGCATCATAAGCGGTGGTGTTAGCAGCAATACCATGTCGTCCATTGCCTTGTTAATAACTGTGTCTCCTTCCTCTCCTCCCTCTCCCTTACCTCATGCTACACTCTCTCCCCTAACCCCACCCCCTTTTCCCCACCTTCCTCTGGCTCCACGTCGGCTGCCGCCTTTCTGAGACCTAAATACCACGCAAACCTATAATCACGTGCCAATGGGCAATGGGCAGATTAGGGAGATACGTGTATTTGAGCGTGTTTGGTTTCTCTGAAGACAAATTATGCTATTAACTGAAAATATTTCGGTCAAATTTTTAGCAGTGCTTTCTTTTTTTACTTGTAGCTCTCTGCGATTCGAAGGAGCTTCAAGAGAGGCTGAAAGAAGTGTGGGACAGGCGAGAGGAGTTACGAAAAGCTGTGAGACAAAATAACGGCTTGCATAACTTCACTCGCAGTCACGGCTCCTCCCGACGAAAGAGGTGAGTTTTTTGCCTTACTTCAACCGTCTTGGATGTTCAAAGTGTTCCTTGTTGATATGCGTTGTACAGAGTAGTAGCCACCTATTCTCCGCCTGGTCACCGATATGTGAAGGTCGATTTCAGATCTGGGACTACGTTAAACCTGCTTAGTTTTATCGTTTTTACCGCCGATGGCTGTGCTACGACATCATCCTGTCATGCACATCCGTTGACTTGATTGCTCCTCAGTCAATAAATTCCGGTCAAGGACGTACGCATCTACAATCTCCCTCTTTCTATCACTAATATGCACATTTTAGAGGAAAACTCTCATTCCGCTTCATCCATCATTCATGGTCTCATAGACAGTCTTGGTATCATTAGAGCGATTCTACTTTTATTCATCGCTCTAAAAATACTCCACGAGTAACCCCACATCTGCTCCACTGCTCACAAAAGGAGTCGCATCTTGAATTTGTGAGGCACTACGTACCCATGCACAGAATTCATCACCTTTTATCTCTACGATGGGAGGATTACACAGTAAATTTAGCATTGTAAGGCTTTTTTTTTTGCTCTACAGGTAAAACAAGGTCCCATTTGCTAGCAATTTGCTATGACTTGCACAACAATTAACGGCGCGGTACTCCAATCCCTTTGACTCCCTTTTCCAAAAGCTCGTCAATTTTGAGGCTAATCAAGAGTGCCTCAAACACCAACAACTTCAAGGCCAATGAAGATGGCACAAGGGGACAGGACGAGTAGGCATTTTACACGCCAATGGTTGCTGTAGGGAAGAGTTGCGGTCATGTAGTCTGACGTCTGACATTTTTGGTGTGTGCACATAGGAATGGAGGGAGGGGGAGAAGGGGGGGGATCGGGGAGCGGAAGGAGGGCAAGGGAGCGGGGACGATGCATTTTTATCACTACCGCATCCCGAGGCGATGACAACCGCCCCAGTTGCCGTCTGTTTAATGACCTAGCGCACTAGCCTTGTCCTATTACAGCTTGATGACTCGGTCTGGCGGATGGTGGTCACTGCAAGCAATTGGACAAAGGGATGCTCAAAAGAGCTTACAATTAAGCAGTCGACAGTGGTTCCGTTAAGACACCAACTCATCGGTGCAAATCGGGTTCACACACAACAATGTCGGAGCTTGTTCTGCATCCCCCACCCGCCGTACTTTCCTCCTTTAACGTGTTTCCTTTCTCAATTTCAACGAGGATCACACTCATTTTTTTAACCACCTCGATTAATCGCCGTATCGCTGTCTGCTTTTATTTTCTATGGATAAAAATAGAAAGATTCAGCATTTCAAGTTTTTACAAAGGCAAGACTGCAGTAACCCCACGATATGTCCTTTTAAGATGTCTGATCTTGACCTTAAGTTCATGTCGGTGACTAGCAATCAAATTTAACCACAAACGGACGGGTGGATATGCATTAAAAAAGAATGCTAACATTTTTGTAAGTAAATTGAGTTTTGCATTCACCTCGCCTGACAAGAAGACGGTGATAATGAATTGCAGCAATACGTCGATCCTGCGAACATCGATGCGAGACAAGCGTCGGTTGACTCAAACCGCTGTGGAGCGAGAAAAACAATTGGGCGAACAAGTGGAGGCGAAGTTGGTCAGTGAGGCGGAGAAGATGGGCTCAACAGACGAAATCGTCCGACCTCCACCCACCCTCCAGGGTGTTGTCAACTCTATTGTCGCCTCTACCCCTTCCAATGGTGTCTCTACTCCCCTCAACTCCCGTCAAGCCCCTACAGCTGCTGTCGATCATCGTTCCAGCCCTGACATCAACGGCGCTACTTCTCATGCTGCTCAAAAAGCCAATAATACAGTTGCGGCTCCTGCTGTACCCCCGCGTAATCCCCGAGTAAGTTGCTATTCGACATTCATAGCCTTCCCAACCGCTTCAATTCTGATGTAGGAATGAGTGACTGGTCCTAGGAATGATTGTCGACGACAGGAGTTAGAAGCAATTTCAGCACAGTCACGATCACAACTAGAAATCATTCCCACGACAGCCACTGAAGCACACCAATCAAATGTCCCACTGGTGTGCATGAAGTCTTTGTTGATGGGTTCTGGCTGAAATGAGATAAACACATTCTTTAAGAGTTTACACCCGAAGTCCACAGATCCATCCACCTTCCAGGTGTTTATGCAAACTCTATTATCTTCATTAAAGCATGCGAAATCCAATGGCGCCCGTTTAGCATCACCGCAAGAACCACCAGCAGCAACGAATTCATCGTGCTCCACCTCGACAGCCTCCACGAAAGACACCTTCTCTTCAACAGAGTCACCATCGGAATCCAGCGACTCTCAGGCAAGATATTTGCGTCCGATGCAACGCAAACCCAACGGTCAGATGGTTCCATTGAATGCGGAATCGGTACGATCACCATCGAGTCAACGATCCCGACAAAATCCACCGACACGCGATAATCGAAGCCGTACCCCACGACGGTCTGACGGTTCCTCCGCCACCACTCCCACTGGATCGGCGACGACCACGCAAGGATGGAACCAAAGGACTAGAGATTCCCCTTCTAACCCCCTTCTGCGCCAAGGTCCGTTAGCTCCCTCTGGGACATCAAAAAACGTCACCAATACTAATCCCTCCTCTTACCCCTCCACTGACACACTCAACTCCAGCCACGACGACAGGCACAGGGTCTTCTCCTGTTGTCACACCATGTGATCGTGTTGATACATCTGATTGTCACCAACCCCGATTCACCCATTCTGACAGTCACATTCAGGCACTGTGTATGTAGAGATCACCCACCACCGAGGTGGCGCACTTTTTGCGCTCAACTTTTGGACAATTATGCCGCCTCCTCCACCACCACCTCTTTCTTTCTCTCCTTGACACTTGTAAAAGGTATGTATTTTTTTCGTGTCCATCAAGTCTATTTCTCCGGTCGTGTGAAGACGAGTTTTGACAGAATTATCATAAGCTATGCAAAACCATAGCAACCCCAAATGTTGTAGAGGAATCCAGTTGACGAAATGCTGACCTCCTCTGGCAATGAGTGCGTAGCAGGTGCCAGCTAGACGTGAATTTTAACTGCAGAGTTTTCCCACAAAACCTACACAATTGAAATAAGGCAGCGGTGAGAACCGTCTGATGAGAGGATGCAAAAAGCAGAATTAATTGATGAGATGGGATGGAGGTGATATATTTTTTAAAAAAAAGATAAAACTGTGATCCAGCCATCTTCGAAAGGCGTTTCGAATTTCATGAGGTCATGTAGGAGGAGCTACACACACACAATCATCTCACGTTACGATTTCAGAGAAGGCACAAATTTAGACGAAAACTGTCCCTCGGTGCCTTCGCTGGAACCGCAGACTCGCTACCAAAAGGCGATTCCAGTGGTGATTTCCCCAAAGGGAAGACAAAAAGGTTTCAAACCTTCAAAAGTATGTATTTCAAAGTTCCAACCAGTAACCATTCTAGTAGTGAAGTTTGTAGCCTCACAAGGTTGGTTCACCCATTCAAGCGTAACCGATCCTCCAATACGCACTTCAGCCTTGCACCCATCTACCTCGGCAATGCAAGGTTTGCGCCTCAAAGAACAGCTAAGTGAACACCCGCCAAAATCGCCCACGACTACCAGAATTCGAAACATCAACTTACCGTCTAAACTTTTTCACATTGCTGTATCTATAGGTGGTTTGAACTACCGGTGCAAAGCTCCATGCTTCAGGGGTCATTTCTATCCACTCATCCTCCGTCCACACACAAGATTTGGTGACCGCATCTGTCAGGTAGAACGGGCCGTAGAAAACGTACACAGTAAACCACTGTTTCTAGATGTACAGTTTAGCTTAACAGGTTCAGAAATGTGGTGGTCTGATGGCAAGTGTTCGTTTTCTTGCATGATTCTACACCAGTTCGCCACAATACGTGATAAGAACAGGTTCCTTTGGCGTTCCTGATTTCGTTCCAGTGGCCTAGAGAAAAAAAAGTGGGAGAGAATATGAACCGAATTGGAAAAAGGCAGGGAGATAAGGATGACCAACCTCAATCCGTTTGACCACGCTCATTCCCTCCACCACACGACCGAAAACGACATGCTTACCATCTAGCCTGAAGGAGCACAAGTGGAATAAGTGTTCCAGGAGAGAAAAACTACCTCCCAAGGGGAAGGAAAATGACCTTACCAATCGCAAGGCTCTGTACAGATGAAAAATTGCGACCCATTAGTGTTTGGACCGGAGTTGGCCATCGAGAGAATGCCTAAAAGAATGCAAAAAGAGTGATTCTAGTTAAGGGCTCCGCTTCAACCTATAAAAATTGCCTTAAATGTACCATCGCCCCTAATTTATTCTTCGACAGGGTAGTGCCTCAGAAGAAGAGACTTCGGCGATTTCCCGAGTCTCACAATCCATCAACTTTTGACAACTACATCAAATCCAAGTTCGACTATAATATAATATAATAATAATGAGGGAGGGCTAAATTCAAACCAACAATGAAAGGGTTTAAACCATTCTTTAAAAAAATAAACCAGACATTTTCATGAGGTAACATGCCACAAAATTTTGGCCTAGTGCCTCTTTTTGCTAGACTTTAATGAGAAATGCGGGACAAGAAATACAATTGCGAGGACAAGTGTCCAAACATTATGCAAAAATAATTAAAAATAAAGTCCAGAGTATTCGAATTATTTCTCCTGCTTGGTAGGCTAATCGTCCGATAGTTCTACCTAGCTTGCACTAGAAATGAATGCATACATCCAGAAAGACACTAATAAGAAGGGAGAAGACTATAAAGACGAAGAATGTGTCTGCAGTGGCTAACAAACTACCAGCCCTAGATCATGGTTAGAGCAAAATTTAGTGAAAACAACCGTTGGATGGCACTAACGGATGGAAGGAGAGTCGACACCCCTCACCTGGAGCATCATGCCGAAGCTGGAAGTTCTCATCGTCGAATTTGCGACCATAGATGGATTTGCCACCAGTTCCATCACCTCGAGTGAAATCTCCACCTTGACACATGAATTGAGGTATTATACGATGAAATATAGAATTTCGATAGCCGAAACCCCGTTCGCCGGTACAGAGAGCCCGAAAGTTTTCAGCGGTTCGAGGTACCACATCTTTGCGCAGCTCAACTACGATTCGACCCACATCGCTGTCTCCGATGCGAATGTCTAGGAAGACGCGAGGTAAGGCCACCTTGGCGCGCTTGGCGTCGCTTTCACCATCGTTATCAGCCTCCTACACGGCAAAAAGGATATAAAAACACTTATAGTGCCTTCGAAAAAACCCAGCTAATCAATAAGCGAGAAAGACAAGCACGCCAGAAATTGATGGATGAATTGGGCAATGATAAATGATGCACCACAAATGAAATCGCATAGAAATTTTGGATGAACTTGTCTGCTACAGAAAAAAAATATTCTCGGTCAACACTACGAAGTAGTGACTTGAAGTATATTTTATAGAAAATTCGGACTAAGAGGGAAAAATTGCAGGGAGGAAGATAATAGCAGTCCAAACCTATTCAAGTGGATTTCTGCCCGTAATTTCGCCCCACAATAAAGAATTCTTTACAGGAAACCGATTAAAAATGACATAATACTATGATGGGTCGATTTTCGCTAAACCCTAATTTGTGCATACTGATTTAAATTTGGGATAAGAACACCTGGGCAATGGATCAAAGCTTTTAGGTAAACCACAATCCCTAGTGCTTCATCAATCGCAAGCATACTTCACAAGAAAGTGAGATGGCCGATAATTTATAAATGTGAACATTAGCCGCGGGTATTTGGGAGATCATTGATAATGAGTATAGCTAAAAGCCAGTGACAAAAAGTTGAAGTGTATAAACAAATTAAAGGATTCATGATGACCCAAGAAAAGAGGAGCTCAACGGGCCAAAAAAGTCGATAATTGACCTATGGTCATTTTATTGATGAAATGGTGTTTTCTTAACGGTGTATTAAAAATGGGCCATTCCATAGTGCAACAGGATGTGATAAAACCAGTTGACTAACCACATTTGAAACAGTCTCCAAGGCGGGGTCGCCAGGTTGAACGACAACGGACTGATCCGGCTTCGAGCCTTCAACGCCCAACCCTCCGTATTTTTTGAGCCAATTATCGTCCGACCAGACTAAAATAATTTTCATAAGTATAATAAGCCCTACTTAATTTATTTGAGCAACGGATACCGTAAATGCAAACAATAAAAAAGCACGAAGACCAACCCACCAGCTTTGCCGTAGCCTTCACGGATGCGAACCGGACGAGCTACGTTGACACGAATCGTTCTGCCAAAGATTTCGCCTTCATTCTGAGAAAAATCCACACTTTTAATACTTTTTTCAGCACGGAAATACAAAGATCCACGCAAATTACCATGTTATCAATTGCAGCAATGGCATCCTCAGCTTCCTCATATTCGATAAATGCAAATCCGCGATGCTTTTCTAAAGGGAAGGAAGGAGTTTCAGGTGAGAAATATTTTACTAACCTGTTTGATAATCGAGGGGCATATTGATGTCAATGATGTCTCCAAACGGAATGAAGGCTGCTTTTAATAACTCCTTATCGACTTCTTCAGCAAGACCGCCTAATATAGTAAAAACGGTAAATGTTAGAAGCCTGCTTAAAATAATACAAATGGGCAAAAATCAATCAGTGAGAATTTCGCTTAAATGGGAAAGCAACACAAAGTAGAGACAAGGTGATGTTCAAAAAATTAACATACCGACATATATGACGCGTTTATTTACAGGGTTATATGTGCCAGCGGGCAGCTGCAGCGGTGGAAGTTCCGCCTACACAAAAACGCATGATAAGAATTGATTCGAGGTGCTAGCACAAAAATAAGCGGATTCATTAAGTAGCTTAGTATTAAGGGAACAACCACACAAGAGGTGTTGATTAAACAGGAGTAAATAAGACGTGTCAACTACAGCAGCAAGGATAAGATAAGATAAGCTAAGGAATAAAGAATCGTAATAGCCAAAAATAAAAAAAATCCACTGCGAAAAAGCTCCAAACAAAAGCACTAAAAAGCAGTCAGCACACGAGTTCAAATGACGAGCACACCATTCTAATAGAAATAATATCATTTCTTTTAACGACATTTAGGAAAAATAATAGTGCTATGACCATTTGCCAAGTGCGTTTTGATTATATTATAAAAAAATTATAGGATTAGGCTTCAAGTACTGAGCTTGCATTCGTACCTCAACGGCAGTAATAACTAATGTCTCTCCTAGTATGTTTCTCCTTTTGGAGATTAAAAGCCTCAGGAATCGCAGAAACTATTAAATGGATATATCTGAGTTTGTTAAAAATTAGAATGAGTGCGTATACTAGTTTATTTTACTACCTTAAACCTGGTGGTTGCCTTGGTATTGGTCTGGTCCATGTACGCGAGGATCTATCCCTTGTCCATCCTCTAAAATGCATATTTTGACCCAAATCAAAATCCTTTTTTATTAAGGAGTCTTGTGAAGCTACAGTGCAACTATCATGAATGGGAGTGTAACACCAGAAGGCTTCCATCCAGGTAGTAGAGGGCATTATGTTGGGCTGATCGCTTGCAGTGGGAGAGAAGGGAAAGGTGTAAAGCTTTAGCTTGGCTTAAGGTCAGTTCGTGCAGACAAGAGCACAATGACTGTCAAAGTGTCAATCGAACAAATAAGGTATTGTAAAAAATTGCCTGGTATCTCAGACAAAAATCGATTTAATATTGTTATTGGCAAAAATTGGTAGAGAAAAGAGCAGCATAAACAATTTTTTGCTGGTGCAGATGCATTGCATTGTCTTAATATTTACATTGGTAATAATATGGTGAGCTTAGCTTCAAGTGAAACCAAAGTAACGCCTCCCCTTGAACATAGGCTTTCAGGCCTACTTAATGCCTTCGCTGAACATATAGATAATCGCAAAACGCTGCACTTGCGTCGGAGGTAAGCGAGTCAAAAATTAGTTATAATACTGATTATGGGTTTCAATTTATGGGACGAAGGTCTATGATCGATTGCAGTGCGCATGCTTTAGGGCATAGAAGCTTTAACTATTCAACACCAGAAGGGTTAAGGAGAGCATATGTATCTGGCATCTACCGACTTGCCATGAACCACAGGCAAGCCATTAGCGCCTGAAGCGACATTACTGGAATCTCCCTTTTAGACATTGTGCATAAATGTCGACGATGACCTAATAATGTACTCTCATTAGTATGGAGATGCGTTTGATCATTTTCTCCCTGACAAACAGCTATTTTTGACTAGTGTACCGGGTTTTTTCTTGCTGCGGTAGAAGTTTAACAGAAGAATGGGGTTCTGCTCCACAATCTTGGACCAGACATAACTGCAAATCCAATGGATCTGCTGAGAGAGGGAAGTACAGTTTCTCAGTCTCGTGGCGACTGGCTCGCAGGTGCTTCCTTGC